AGTGCAACAGGGCGATAGCCATTAAAGCCGGATAGAGGTGGTGTCTTGGGGATATTGTGATAGCTTTAAAAGTGGGGAAAACTGCCTGGCTCAGGGAGATGTTGAAAATGTCTGTGAGGACATCTTTGAGCTCGTTTGCACAGTTCTTAAGCACGTGGCCAGTTATACTGTCTGGACCAGCTGCTTTGCGGGTGTTGATTTTAGAGAGGGATCTCTTCACACTGGAGAAAGACACAGAACCTGGTCGTCAAGAGGAAGTGGAGTTTTCTGTGTAGATGTGGATGCTTCAAAACGTGCAACGAAGTTGTTGAGTTTCTTTCAGCAAAGAGATGTCACTGTCACAGGACTGTGGTGGATTTTGTAGTCTCCTCATGTCTCTGCTGTCTCTAAAGTTATGGGCTATCCTCCTGGCGTACTGTTTTTGGCCTTTCTGATACCCCAGGACAGGTCGGCCCAGGCTGTTCTCAGGCCTTCATCACCACTGGCTCTGAAAGCAACATTTCGTCAACCATGGTTTCTGAAGCTCGTATTGAGATAGTCCTGGTTACAGTTACATCATCCATGCAATTGGTGATGTAGGCAGTGACTGTCTCTTTGTATTCCTGAATGTCAGTGGGATGGTTTTAAGTGGCCCTTCTGTGGGTTGTGTAAACCAAGTCCAAAATATTTCCCCCCTTATGTTGGAAAGTCAATATGTTGATATATTTTTGGAAATACAGACCTAGGGTCTGCATGATTGAAATCTCCAGCCAGAATGAGAAATCCATCTGGTGTGCTGTCTGTTGCTCGCCAACTAAACTACATTACCCACTGGACTACCAAAAGAGTTGTTACCTGTTGCAAAGAGCCTCTTCTCAATATTATTAACTCGTCTTTATCTTTAGGTTATGTCCCAAGACCATTAAAGCTGGCAGTTATTAGGCCTCTCATTTAGCCTGGATGCCAGCCTGAACTCCGCCCACAAAATTTTTTGGTCGGGAAGTTCAGTCTGGACTCGATCCATTGAGGAGTAATTATGATCAGGCAAGAAATGAACGGGCCAATCATATTGCCAGGGCGGGCTTTATACGATGATGGACAGATGATTTGCAAGGACATAATCATCACGTTATCAAAGAGCGCTTGTCAAAGATGACTGCAGCTGGAGAATTGAGATGTATAGATTCCGCTGTCGCGTCTTTTGTAAAATAAATCAACAGCGCATTCATTTTAATAGACAAACAGAGAACTGCAATCAAGGCATTTGTCGATCGGAAAGATATTTTTGGCGTCCTTCCAATGATTCGGGAAAAGTGTAACTTATCAGCTGGCTCTGACGGTCGTTAAGAAGATGGGACATAATGAAAAGCCTGTGGTCGTTGTGGTTTCTCCTTTGGTGGCACTCATGGAGAAGTAAGTAAAAGAAGCAACAATCGTTATTTAACTTCTAAAATAAATAAAGTTAGGCAACATTCTGTATTTGAAAACTGCGCTATGCAAAGGAGTTGACTTACTGCGTTGCTCTGATTGGTTGTAGGTCTACCGACTATCCAATTGAGTGCAGAGGTTTTTTTTTTTCCTGGTTCGGTTAAGACACGCCTCATAATCAAAGCCCTATGGAGTGGTCTCAGACTCATTTTCTTATTAGAAAATGACTATGACGAAGTCAGGCAACCTCTCATTAAGAAATCACAATTAAATCCAAATGAATTAGCAAATCACAGACCCATTTCAAATCTTCCATAAATAAAATATGAGTGTGTTAAAGATATAAAGTACTGGATGACCTGTCATATTTTCTTCTATTCAGATAAGACTGAGTTGTTACTGATTGGACCAAAAACCTGTACTCAGAATCTCAGAATACAATTTGCATTTAGAAGGATGTACTGTTACTTTATCCTCTGCAGTTAAAGACCTGTGTGTTATATTATACAGCAACTTGTCTTTTGAAAAACAGCCTTCTTCCACCTCAGAAACATTGCTAAGCTACGGAACGTTATCTGTTCGCCTCTAGACTAGATTACTGTAATCCAATACCGCCTGGTTGTGGTGCATCCTCAATAAACAAGCGACAGTTAGTCCAAAATGCAGCTGCTAGAGTTCTTCCTAGGCCAAGACATTTTGATCATATGAATATGGGGTGTTGATGGCGCAGTGGATAAGACACATGCCATTGGAGTGAGAGACCCGGGTTCGAATCCACTGCGAGACACCAATGTGACCCTGAGCAAGACACTTAACCCCTAGTTGCTCCAGAGGCGTGTGACCTCTGACATATACCAATTGTAAGTCGCTTAGGATAAATGCGTCAGCTAAATGTAAAATGATCAACACAGATTTTATCATCTCTACTCTGATTACCTATTACTGCCCTACACTCCCATCATGCTCTTTAAGATCACAAAACTCAGGGCTTCTGGTAGTACCTAGGATATCTAGTCTGCACCAAGGTCTAGGGATGCACCGATACCGGTATCTGGTATCGGCCTCGATACCACATTTTCTAAAGTACTCGTACTCGTTAAAAGTCCCCCGATACCGGGGACCGATACCATGTTCTGAGAAATGGGTTAATCACAGGCGCCGAGTGCCCACCCCCAGGCTCCGGCTGCAGCTCAGAGCGGGGAGATGGGGAGACATGTCAGCCGTGTGGAACAGTGATGCGCGGGTCAATGTATAAACAACCCGCACACTACCAACGTTTTCAACTACCCGCCCGCTACTCGGACCGCAAAAAAAGTAAAAATATTTTTTAAAAGTAGTACATGCTCATCGTAGCGTCATTGGGCCATAAACGTGTAACAACACAGCATCGCAAGAAGACGTAGCCTACATATAACAAAGGCAGCACTTTGGTCATCATCTTTCATTATTTCGGTAAATGTCTCCCACACTTACTCTTTCTATTTGTGTATTTGCGGAGCTTCCACTCCCCAGTCTTCACCTTTTCTCTTGCCGATCTCTCTGCAGACTAGTGATCATAGACATGGCCGGTTCGTGAACGAATCGGTTCTTTTTAATGAACCGGTCGAACCAGTACGCTAAATCGAACTGAATCATTCGCATCAGTTCACGTCTTGCGTCAGTGCTGATCCACAAGTTACTACAGTTACTCACTTTCAGACATGCCTGACAGTCCCTCCGAGTTGAAATAAACCAATATCCCGAATTATATTTTACTCCAGTAACTCTAACAGTTCACTGAACTGAGACATGTTGTTGATACTGCTGATACTGCGCATCCGCGTATAGTAACGAACGCAGAGGTACAGCGGTTCTCGGATCACACCAGTACAGAACTGAGAACTGTTTAGACTGAGCTTGTGTGTCATCTTCGAGCCAGTTATTCAGCCAATAAATAAATTCGGCCTATAGGCCTATATTTCATAGAAAATTCTATCTAGTACTATATAAATACAAAGGTTTAATTGGCATTTTTTTCCAAACGACCTGACCGACCGCGACCCGAATATCATTAAAAATATTTTTGGATGACCCGTAACTGCGGGTAACCGCGGGTGACCGCGGCGCAGGCACCCGCTCATTTTGGATCAACCCGTGCATCACTGGTGTGGAACAATTTCAAAGTGAATGGCTTTGGATTAGGAGAATAAGTTTACTTGTAGTCGCCAAGTTACTTATAGTCAGTTGAATGTCTGTTGGGGGACCAAATAAAGTGTTATCAGATATTAAGCTGATCGTACTAATACTCTAGTCTACTAATACTCTAATGACAGTTAGTTGACATGTAATTGAAAAGTTACTTATAGTTAGTAAAGTGGACTATTGAAATAAAGTGTTACCCAAGTAATTTAATCAAGGACCTAAAAACCCGTATATAAAAATATTTAAATCATGTTTTTTTTGTTTTTTTATTAAGTACTCGGTATCGGTATCGGCGAGTACTGAAATGCAAGTACTCGTACTCGTACTCGTTTTCCAAAAAAGTGGTATCGGTGCATCCCTACCAAGGTCCGAACTAAAGTTCACGTTTTGATACATTTTATACTTTCAGAAAGTTTTGGTTTGGTTTCACACTGAAATTATGCTAGCACTCTATATAAATTTACGCAACATCATCACCTATGAGGGCTGCATCTTGATATTGATTGGTTTAGTAAATGGACGTTTGTCTGACGTCTGCGTGTTGTCAATTCGACGGGTAACTTTGAGAACATAAACGAACAGACGCATATCGTTGCAACTATATTGTTATTTTTATGGCATAATTACCTGCAGCACCAACTATACACAAGGATAGTTCAAATTCGCCAAATGAACGTCCTCATCATGCGAACATTTTATCATCGCCGGCAGGAAAGGAAGAGAAGACTGAAACTTCTTATTATGTCTTTAGACCATACTTCCATATTAAAAACCTTGTCTCCTCATCTCCCCATGGGCTACCACGGCTCATTTTTCCTGCCACGTTTTTTTGGCTTTTTGGGAACCACCAGAACTTCCTGTAAAAGGTCTGAAAGTCCGAACCATACAGAAATGCTTTCTCACTAGAAACGAACCAAACCTTTTTTCCAGTTTGATCCGGACTGAGACCTCTTTTAGTCGGACACAATAATGTGGATATACGATAAGATAATTTATGCTAAAAACAGCACCAAGATATTTGTAATGCAGAAATATGAAGCTACTTACTAACACTTTAGCATCATATTTATTTAATCAATAAATATATCTAAACAGATGTATTTACAATAATAAAAATGAAAAACTGTACAGACCGCACGTGATCAGCACTTTAAATTACAACCAGGTGAACTCCTTGTTTGTATTGAATGCACACTAAAAATATCAGTAATAAAAACATGTTTGGTTTTCCATGACATCTAAAATTATTTAAAATAATGTATCTTAACATCAGTGAGACATCACAGGTTTGGAAAAGGTTTAGAAACAACAAGGATTTTACAATAACTTTACATTTGTAACAGACTGATTTGACATTAGTAAAAAAAATAAACAGAAAAATTATGGCAAGTGAAAGAAATGGGAGTCTCAGATCAAATTTCCTCTAGAGGGTTTTAATTCTTACATCAAGATATTAAAATTACATTTTTGCAGTGTTTGTGTTCTGGTGTTTAGGCTAGTGACGGTTATGTTGAGGGAGGCACAGATGGGGCGCTAGGGGTGTTCAGGGGTTCAGTCTGTAGCGGGTGGTTTAAAATAATGTCCTGCAGCAGAAGACTGTTGGTCTCTTTCCACTCCCTGAATTTACTTGCGGTGAGAGCAGAGTCAGCCAGTACCTGCTCCAAAGTCAGTAGATCTGCTTCTTTAGCCTAAATCGAAGACAATTTTTTTTTTGTTAAAAATAACTTATTATATAACACAGTATTGATAGCAAATTGGATGAACACAAAATTGATCAAATTAAATTAATATTAATTTGATTTCTACAAAATATGTTTTAAAAAGTCTAAATATGCTTTATTCATCCAACTCTGCTGGTACACTGTAAAAATGAATATGCTTTATCTAATCAATAAAATTGTGGCAACAGATTACAAGCAATATTATTTATTAAATTGAACAAATTAGAATTGAGTAATAGTATTTTTTAAAATGAATTCTAATTTGTACAATTTAATTAATAATATTGCTTGTAATATGTTGCCACAATTTTACTGATTAGATAAAGCATATTATTTTTTCAGTGTAGATTTTGGAATTGACATAGTTCTGCCAGGTGTCAGTAACCTCAAATTTCAAATGATTAATTTTTTACCATCGCTAAAAAAACGAACGCATAAGGGCCTGCTCACATATCGCGTATTTCGCGCGTTCAAGTTCGTTATTTCAAATGTAGGCTCGCGGTATGCACGCTCATAAAGGAAGCTACGCTCGATTTTTCCAAGCGCGTCCGCGCCACATCGAGATAAAAACATCTCAACTTTTCAGAATGCCGCAAGCGCACCATAAGCGCACAATAGGTCACGTGACAAGAAATTTGGGAAAAGGAGAATGCGGCGCGCCCAGCGTTTTCTACGCGTTTTTAGGCGCTACTGAACTTTTTTCACTCTAAAGGGCCTGTTCACGCCAATTATACATTTTGAAATAAAACCTATTCACATCAAGTTTAATTGGAAAAGAAATGAAAGAACCAGCAAGAATCTCTACTGGTCCTGAAGATGGAGCTGCCATCTTGCCAACAATTGTGTTTCGCTAAAAAAACTAAAATAACGACTTTATTCAACTATTAATTTCCTTCTCTGTTGGCCTCGAGATATTTCACGTAGTGTAACTGCGCAGCACTTCTGGGTTGTAGGTCACATGCATCACACACATGACCAGCATTGGCCAATACCCTGATTTCATGCAGCTGCCATTTTGAAATTGAAAGCGAGGCTCCGGTGGGAAGAACCCTGGAAGTACAGATAGACAACAATGCCTTGGACTACCAACCTGAAGCTGCTGGGGCGATTTACACTATTGGATGTTAATATCCAATATAGGATATGTATATAGTTCGTTCCTGCTTCTTTTTTACGTTCTCAATAATTTTTTTTTATTTATAAATGAATTTTACTGTATATAGTCTAAAGTACGAAAGAAATGTATGTACATTTTTAGAATAACTAATTTCTACATTAAACACGACAATACGGCATCGCATTCGCGACACTCCAATGATTAAAGGCGACACTTCCGGTTTTCTTCCCAAAGGAGCGATTTCAAAATGGAGGCTGCGTGAAATCAGAGTATAGTGAACCTACGTGTGACGTACAACACAGAAGCGCTGCACTGTTACACTACGTGATCTCGAGGCCCAAATTAATAGTTGAATAAAGTCGTTATTTTTGTTTGTTTTTTTGCGCACAAAAAGTATTCTTGTCGCTTGATAAACTTAAGATTGAGCCACTGTAGTCACTATTTTAACGATGTCTTTAACTTTTTTGGGCCGGCAAGTTTCAATCCCTTAAAAGCCTATGGAGGAGTGATCCAGCTCTCAGATTTAATCAATAATATGTTAAGTGAGCCTTAGTGTGTAATGTGTAATGTTAGATGGATGATAATTCTGCTCTACAGATCAGGTCAAGGTAATCAAATCACAAAATATGATGCGACCCCACGCTTAGTACACACGCTTGGTACTATTTTTCCCCCCAACATATTTCACAGTCGATGTAAATAGGCCTTAACACTTACAGACAAAATTGTAAGATTTGAGGAAGAATTGAATTGAGGTTTATCTGAACTTCTAACCTTTAGAGTGCTGTTGAGGGTTCTGATGAGATGTATCTTCTCATTGAGCATCTGGTTTCTGCAACGCTTTATAAAGGAGGTTCGTAATTCCCATTTTGATGATGGTTTTCGCTCGCCCGTTGGAGACAGGCTTGCTCTTTTCAAATGCATGTACAATCTTTCCATCTCATCATCAGTTCCTTCCTGTCCATCTAGAGCTATTAAAACAATTATAACTTTTATGGCAAGGGTTATGTTTAAACCTAAGCAATCAAACTTCTATGAAAGTTTTTTTTTTGATCATAACAAACATTAATAATATCCTCCAAATTGATCAGTAGTCATGTCACTGGCTGAACAATGTCATTTCCTATCATAAATCGGTTTATGATATTTAATTGGTTCCCCAACTTGCTCACTTTCAGGTCCGGTGTCATTTGAGGTTAGCAGCGGGTCTGGTTCCTCTGGCTCTGTGGATAATGCCATATGTGTTGTTCTTGATGAGCATTCAAAGGGGCCTTGAGACGTAGCAGTGATTTCACTGCATTGTGAGGTTTCCTTTATTGTGGGGTTCATTGTATGGACCACAGCTGAGCAGACCACTGTCTCCCCAGCAGTAGGTGTTGCCTGTGAGACAAGGTCTAGCCAAGACCGTCTATGCTTAGCCAGAGAGGAGGCAGAGCTGTGGGAGGTCATCGTACTGACGGGGGAGGGTAGGGTTCCAGTGGTTTCACTAGGAACAGGGGAGGAATATGGCGGAGGAAGGCTTTCCTAAATGGGAAAGATACATCAGAGTAAGGGACAATGGAATTGTCTATTATAATATATGTTGGGTGCAAATGTTTTCAAACATAGTTCTTCTAAATCAAGGGTGTCCAGTCCTGCTACTGGAGGGCCACTTTACTGCAGAGTTTAGCTCCAATACACCTGCCTGGAAGATTTTGGTGACCCTCCTAAAGATTTCAGGTGTGTTTAATTAAGGCTATAGCTAAGCTCTGTGGTTGCTTCTCAATTCTCAAATTAAAAACCAATTCATACTTCTATGACTAAGGAAGCGAGGGAATGAAATGAGGATGCACAAATAAGAAATGAGAAGCACCCATAACTAGGGTTGGGTATCGAGAATCGAGTGGAACCGGGACTAACTTTTCGTTTTTCCCGGAATCGTTCAAAAGTTAAAATTTTGATTCCTAGTTTCGATATTCACAGTCCGCCGAGCGGAAGAAGAAACCGCTGAACAACACCAACGAAGAAGCGTCTACCGGAAGTGTTGGCATAATCGCGCGAGTCGAACATGAGTACCTTACGTCGGCGATCCAAAGTGTGGCTTCACTTTTCTAAAAATAACAAAATCTCGGCAAAATGCAAAATTTGTGACAAAAGGAGTATTTTTACAGAAGGATTATTTCCTTCAGAAAGGCCGTTGGTTAGCAAGGTTAGCTAAACTTTTTTGACCCTGCCTCTTAAAAGAATCGGAATCGAGAATCGTTAGGAACCGGAATCGAAACAAGGAATCGGAATCGCAATCGTTCAAATTCAAACGATACCCAACCCTACCCATAACCTTTCCTTCGATTCCTTTTTCCTCATTTTCTTTCCTTGCATCCTTCCTAGCATCCTAAGGGGGGTGGAGCTGAGATGCTAGGAAAGGAAACGTCTCGTTATGTCGTGACGACGAATGGGGTCTCGCTTAGAAAGCCTATCAACTTTGAGTATTTAGTATTAGTACCTGTCTAACGATGTACTGTATGTTCATGCTGAAATCTTCTGGATAGAGTCCCGCTCAGAGCAGGATTGAACACACTTGTTCCGTATCTTAATAGTTTCTTTTTTATAATGCCCCTTTTCCATTCTAATAATATCATTGAAGAATACCATTAACCACAGTGATGGTGACTAAAGTAAATATTAAAGATGGCAAATTTTATGGTGTTATGTTAATTTTATGGCATGGTGTTATTTATTGAACAACTCCAATCAATGTGTAAATTCTGTGTTAATTTAACACTTTAAGCTGTTGTGTGAATGCAGACAATGTGAAAACAGTGAAACCTGAAGTTTGTATTAATCTTTGGCCGGAGGTCAAGGACACATGTATTGTGCAACTGTGAACTTGCCTGGTGAGCAGCAGCTGATGGACTATTCACAATTTCTACAGCTTGGGTGTGGTGCTCAGTATAGGGTGGAGGAGGTGTGTCTGTGGACTCCTCGTGATCACTGGCCTCACTGTAGCATTCTGTGCAGTAGACAAACAAAGATGCCAAAAAATTCTAAGGAATGCTTGTAACACTAGTAGACTTACAACTTACCAGCTGTATGACCCTCTGTGGGTTCATACTGAATAGATGCCAGACCAAGTTTATTTAACCATCTGAAATAACAAAACATAAGTTACCGACAATGATACAAAATGACAGTTTATACAAGAGATTATTAAAACTGTCTAACCCAATTTTTTTTTATAAATTCCTTCAAGTTTCCTCAGTATTTAACCCCATTCATCCTTTACCTTTAACCATGTGTCGCGCAAGCAAACAAAAACCAAAGACAGGTCAGCAAACTCAATGTCAGCAAAACCAAACACACGAAATGAATGAGAGTAGCTTCAGCTCTCTTGCAGGGGGGTCACCCTTGGCAAACTGGTCCCAGGTGAGAGGCCAGACCAAGAGTGATTCAATACGTTCCCTAGAGAATGTGATTTGAAAGTGATCTGATAAAAGAGTGAAAGACCATGACTGGTAGAATGAAACCAGGGCACTCTCCTGGAGCACCTGATAGCCAGGTTCTGGCTCAGTCGGGCTCAGCCCACTAGAATAAAGTGGGGCCTTTTCCTTGTGGGCTCACCACCTGCAAGGAGAAGCCGAGGAGGGCCCATACACACAGGATACTGTGGCACCAGCTCGATATGGTTGGCCTCACCTCCACACAGCTCGAGGGCTGGAGCCAAAGTCCTGGATAGAGTTTGAACTAGTCACCCAGGGTGATAAACAAATTCCCTGACTCTGCGCCACGGTGTCACGTGCAGGAAAGACTGTGTTCTGTTTACGTTATGTTATTCCTTCATCCCGAGGAAGGCTGGAGACACAGAGTCTGAATGGGTTCTGTTCAAAACTGACATTGCGAGATAGGCTGCTTGGAGCTGTGGCTGAAAGTTTGTTAATCTGACAGCAACCCAATGAGAATCCATGGACTTTTCCGGCCTCAAAGAGTTTGTAGCAAATGGCTTAGTTGAGGGAAGCATTGCCTGATGCAGAATTTGCTAACCTCACCTGTTGATATAATTGGGAGGGTGAAGGAAAACCTTTGAGGATCTTCTGAACCCTGAGGATAATATCTTGAAAGAAGAGGCAGGGCTGGAGGAATTGGGAGAGTACTCAAGCATTTTCTGTTGGAAGTCACTGAGGAAGTTAAAGGTTCAGAAGTGGCAAGGGGCCAGGGCTGCCAAGATTCAATATACTGAAGAAACTGAAGCCCCTAGATGTGGTCAGAATAGCACCTGGAGATTGAAAGGCAGGTGTGGTGGTTCCCATATTTAAAAAAAAAAAAAAGACCGGAGGGTGTTTTCTAATTATGAGGGTTTTTGGACTTGGATAAAGGCTTACGACCATGTTCCCAGGGCTGTGTTGTGGGGGGCAATAAGGGAGTATGGGTACCAGGGCTGCTTATGGGTGCCATCCGGGCCTAATGACTTGACATGACTTAACTATCTATATCAGTAGTTTATACAAAACATTACTGTAACTACTGTAAATACAACCATGGATGTTACTAAAAAGAATATGTTTTTTTTTTTTCAAACTGATGTGTCAATGGGCTTACAACTTCATGTCCACATTGTTGTCAGCTGCAAAGTAGAACATCATGACTTTGGGATGGCAAGCTTTGATCGCACTGTGAGAAACACAAAAAAGTGTGAAGGGTTTTTCAATTGAAAGATATTTTATAATCATCATGGTAATGAAAAAAAGAACCATGTTATATTCTAATAATTGAAGGCCCTTTCATTTGGAAAACAAATATTGTTTAGCAATTCAAGAGGAAATGAACAGAAATGACAATGTCACTTACTATTTTTTCTTACATTCCATTGCTCTGTCAATTACAAAATCAGTCAAATTTATGAAGCCTTCTGCTTTTTCAGCCTGGGAAAAAACACAAAACAAAAGTTTTTTTGTAACATGTCCTTTCTTCCCATTATTATCAAGGCAGAGAAAAAACTATTAAAATTAAATCCTAAATCCTTTTTTACCAAGATTAATGCTAAAATATCTAAGAAAAAATGTTGTGCTGACCTTTATAAATAATATTCAATTCATAGAAAAAACAATAGCATGATAAGATGTAGGCACATAAATGGCATTCGGATACTCACCACTTGATTTGTGTACCAGTACAGAGAGGTTTTCTTTAGAATAAACCAATACTTTTTCCACTTAATTCCCAGAAATCCCTTCCCCTCTTTTTTCCTATAGAGCCAGCCCTGATGGTCCACTGGCTCCAGATCTTTTACTGAAACTCTCCTTCTGCTCATTCTTAGACTGCCTATTAGAACAAATGTTTAAATGCCACAATAAAACAAAAATGGTGACTCTGGAAGAAAAAAAAAACACAACTTTTGAGTTGTTTGTGCAGTGCAACACATACCTCCACAATTCTTCTTTTTTGACTTCTGTCTGAGAGACACCTGAAGATAAATGCATATGTAATATGGTGATATTATAATGACCTTGTCTTGTAATCATGATTTCTGATACTTTCACACTACAATGCAGAATATGAATGTACAATAGGTTCACAAGAATTACCGGATTGTACTCATCAGCAGCAATTTGGGGAGCCAGAGAAATGGGGAAAGAGGCCTGGAAAAAGACCAAAGCAGACACATTCGGTGATCATTAGGATCAGTTTCAGTCAGAGACTTTGACAGCACTTTGTTTTACAGCCCTGTTCGGCATGTACATACTAAGTATTTACTAAAGCAATTACAATAACTGCTAATAACTAGGTATTAACCCTGAACCTGAACCCTAAACCTAACCGTAACCCATTTTAAGTCCAAGTATTTACCTTATATTATTCAGTACTTTTTTGGGTAAGTACACTGCACACCATACATACTTTAAAATGAAGTGCAACAGTGCATTCAGAAAGTATTCAGTCTATCTTTATCTATAGCATCCCATTACTTTTTTGCTATTTTGTTATGTGGTAGCCTTAAAAAAATCCACACCAGATTTGTGATACTTTGGATTCTGAATTTGGGCATTTTCAGACAATTTTCTCTGCAGATGGGATGGGGACTATTGGTGGAGATTTTCAGAGATGTTCATTGAGTTTAAATGGCTCGCAATGTCTTAGCTGTTGCAAGGTAAACCTTCAGCCCAGTCCTGAGCCCTCTGAACAAAGTTTTTATTTTGCTGCATTCAACTTTCCTTTATGACCAGTCCAGATATTTCGCAGGTGATATTCAGTGCCTAGTTACCTAGACATGACAGATAACCTTGAGGCTTCGTCTACATTTGAAAACACATTTGAAAACAGTGTTTTCATTTCAAAGCACTCTCATCCACACCAGCGTTTCCAGAAACTTCTGGATATGTTGATCCAGTAATATGTCTTGGCAAAGCATGGTGACGTTGGAAAACACTAAATTCACCTTATTGCGCATGCATAAAACCTCTTAAATGATTATTTGAAGTTAGAACTTATCTAATATAAACTTATCAGTTTGTGGCAGTAAATGAAGAGATGTCTTATCGAAGTTCAGCATGGAGTACCACAAGGCTCAGTACCAGGAACGTTGTTATTCACTGTCTACATGCTACCCTTGGGAGATTTCATTAGGAAGCATGGGATTCATTTTCCCTGTCATGCTGATGATACTCAGCCCCTATATCTCTTTGCTCCCCGACAAAACTTGCTATTCAAGAAATGAATGCTTAGCTGATATAAAAATGCTTGATGCATTTTCAGCTGTTATACCTTACATTTCCAGGTGTGTCTAGGTATTGTCCAATCAATTGGTATGCCACAGATGAACTTCCGTCAAAGTATAAAAAACAACTAGAAGATGATCTAGAGAAACATAATGCAGAAATCTAGTGTCTGAATACTTATGTCAACGTGATATTTTAAGTTCTCATATTTTTTACTGGTTTAATTTGATGTCTTTCTTTTTTAATAAAAAATGCAACTTTCCAAAAATGGATTTTGCTTTGTCATCATGATGTACGGAGTGTAGATTGATCTGCATTATGTGGCATTGTCACAGGACTTGTGATTAAAATGTTCTGAGCTGATATAGAAAAGCACATTGGCACAATGAAAATTACAACACTTAACTGATATCTAATACAAATTGTGCATATAGGAAAGCTACATCAGTATGCAAACTAAAAGACCTAACATCATTTAAAACACTGACATGAAAAACTGTCACAGAATGTCACAACCTTTAAATATATTATGTAATTAATAAAAATGTATTCACAGTAAAGAAGACGCAAGCAAAATGAAACTTTCTCAATTTCCTCAAACTTCACAAGTTCCTTTTAAGGTATAACAGAAGAGCAGACAATTTGAAGGAGCATTTTCTTCACATTGCAATATGTACCTAATAATTATCCAAAAAGGTTTGCTACCATAGAACATGCTTTAAATGTACCTATTCAAGTTGCCTATATTGTAACCATAAAGTTAAAAAAGTATATTGTAACCATTCAAGTGTCAAAATCTGCTGTCTATTTGTCTATATCTAAGAAATCAAAGTAAATATGTAGATGACATCATTTAGAAGAGACATTTTAAGCTCTCAAGCCTCCAGTTGTCAATAATACTGTTACAGTATATAATATAGTATTAATACATTATCTGATTTACCCGTTCACCAGACTCTGTCCTTCCACCTCGATTAATGGACGTGCACATTGCCGGATCATTTTAGAGAAAAAAGAACTTCTGCTTACGCAAGAAACATTTCAAAACATTCTCCACTTCTTATTCTACACACAAATAAGGGCAGTAAACACAGTCACATGAACATGTCTCTAGTTCTGTTAATCAGACTCCTTCTATATTTAAGCCTGAGTTTTCCTTAGCCCCTTGTCTAGTGCTTACTTTATGTTATAGTGTGTACACTCTAAAATTCTGGGTTGTTTTAACCCAACTTTGGGTCAAATATGGACACAAACGTTGGGTTAAAAATGCAATGTAAAAATGTAACCCAATGGCTGGGTTTGTCCATATTTGACCCAAAGTTGGGTTGAAACAACCCAGCATTTTTAGCGTGATTAGGTATTGATTAAAAAAAATGTATGCTTATATGATACAGAGTAAATGGCTAGAATTTAATAATCATAGAATATACAATTTAATGAAGCAAATCAAATATTTTCACATCCAACATCTACCGGTATTTTGCTGAAATGAAGACTTCAGTTACCAGAACTAATCACAAGAGGTTCACCAAGTCCTCAAACTCCAGAGGTTAAAGGGGTGGTATAATGCCCTTTTCACAAGATGTAAAATAAATCTCTGATGTCTCCAGAGTGTTTATGTGAAGTTTTAGCTCAAAATACCCCACAGATATTTTTATATAGGATGTTAAAGTTGTCACTTTTTGAGGGTTAGCAAAAACGCACTGCTTTGTGTCTGGCCCTTTAAATGCAAAAGAGCTGCAGCTCCCGACACAGTGGGCGGAGCTTCAATAGCGTGCGTGTTAGCAGCTTCGATTACCTCACAGACACATGCTAAATGTCAGAAAGTGTTCTACCTTTTATGTTTAAACCGGAGTCAGACAAAGATATGTTGCTGATGTGGAGTCAGGATAATCTATAAATCACTTGTATAGACCATTTCACAAGATGTAAACAACACTGGTCCAGAAGCACTTCCTGTTTCAGTTTGTAACTGTTTTCTTTATTTCACATGTAAAGAAAACATCTTAAAGATGTTTGTTTAACTTTTTGATTCAGTTTTAAATGTTTTGTTGGTTGTATTTTATCCCAGCTTTTATGTAGTGTTAAAAAACTGAAACAGGAAGTGCTTCTGGACTAGTGTTGTTTACATCTTGTGAAATGGTCTATGAACTGTTGTGAGATGCACACAGCGTGACTACAACTCCTTTTCCTCTTCTCAACATGGACTGGGTGTCCCGGGGAAGGGGTTTATATAAATTTTAGGGTTAGTGATGTTACTAACCCAGGAGGAAGCTTCTGTAGTTCCTACCAGCCATTTGTTGTAGTTCTTAAAAAACATTTTCTTTAAAAGCAAATATCTTCCTTTGCTTCGAACTTTGAGCATTGTAACTTTTGCAGATGTGGTTTATGCTCAAACAGCAACAATACACATTTCATATGATTATGAAATCATAATCAACAACCCCTTTAAGATTCTTCTAGCATAAAAAATCAAATCATACTCCATATTCCATACCAGATGGGGGCAGTATACCTCCAGAAAGTCAAACACATCTTCAAACAACACGGGCCAGCGCTGTCTTGCTGTCTCTCCCTCGTGCATAATAATCAAATCAATTGACATGATAGTAAAAGGTTGGAAGGCCGCAGTTTCACGTGGAACATTTGGAGATTTTTTAGAGACTAAATTATAAAGGCCGTCTCATAGACGCCTGTCTCAAGCCGGTGCATTTCGACGATATGGGAAAATAAAGCCCAGACTATTATTTGAAGTTTTACGATATTCGTTTTCTTCGTATTACATTTTTATTGTTAGTTTGAATTAATTTGACAGACAGCATTCACTGATGTTGACCAAGCTAGCGCCATTCAGAGCTGCCAACTCTCACGAATTCACCGTGAGACTTTTCACTTTTCACACGCTCTCACGCCACACATCAAGTTTGTCACGCACAGAAAAGGACACGGAGACCGACAGACTAGACGGAGCAGGTCAATTATGATATATAAAAAAATCTCAGCTCTCAGATTCTGTCAATTTTATTACGCAATTCAAACAATAAATACCGTTTTGGTGCTTGTAAATGTTAAGGCCTCATTATGCTTCTGCGTCAACTCCACGGCGTAGCTACGTCGTCACTGCTACGGCGTCGTGGCCGTTTTATACTTCTGCGTGAGGTTGTGGTGCATCGCGGTGCATTTCACCGCCAGAACGCTAGGGGGGTTCGCGAATCTCTTTGGTTCCGTGCGCCGCGAGCGAAAGAGAGAGAATGTTGTTTTAGCAGCTGCCAGCTGGAGCTAATCGACGTTGAATAACAAGACGACACAAACTTTATCCCCACAGAATCAACACGGATGTCCAGGGCACGTTCCACCCATAGACAATAAAATAAAGGTTCCACCCGAGCTGCCATAACGATACCTGTTCGGAATGACTTAAAGGATTTTTTCAGTCTCCACATGGAACTGTGCTATGCAGGATAATGTGTCCCGTGGCAGACTTGGTTAGTACTGTATTATCAATGATGTAACCGTGAACATTGTATTGAAAATAAACAACAAACTGTGTTTCGAAACAAACGTTGATTTATTGATTGATTGAAGTTTATTGCGAGCAAAAAAGAAAAAAAAAAGAATATAGACATATATATTAACAATGAAAAAAAAACAGTTTATTTTTAGATTAATTCTTTATTTACTTTTTTATAAGAGTATTATAATTATCAGAATGAGGGTGCAAACGTTAAAAATAGCGCTAAAAGCGGGAGGGGGAAATCGGAAAAGCTACACTCCTGAATTGATGTATAATCTGACCAATCAAAGCCCTTGCTGTCTGCGTCGCCTCGACGCGTAGTTACAAATTTTTGGAGGTGCACGTCGAGCTACGGCGGAGGGGTCGGAGAGGGGTTCGCGTCGACGGATAGGGGTCTGCGGGGGTACGC